AAGAATGATCTTATTTATTTTGAGAGTTTCTCTGATTATTTTGGTTGATTGGAAATCCTAGATTACGCTAGTTTAAGTTTAAAAAGTTGGGCTCAGTTTGTAGTTTGTCAGGTTACGCTCACTGTGCTTGGTTATAGGCTGACTTTTATAAAGTTATGCATAGGTTCTTGGGTAGAGTCAGGTCTGGATCATTAGGTTGGTTTTCATTTGTTCAACTATGTCAACATTTTCAATGTAGGTTTGGTTTTTCAGGTTCAATATGGATTATTTAGGAATACAGGTGAAACATTGCAATTTGACCAGTGTTATTAAGTAGGTAGAACTTTAAACTATAAGTTTAAAGGACCTCCAGTTGAACTTGAAACTGGAGACGGGACGTTAAACTGGGTACATCTCTGTGTGTTACATTTATGTTACTATTTTGGCACACATAGCTGTTTTCTTGCAGTTTGACTGCTTTACAATTTGACCCTAGTCCAGCAACAGGCTACCGTTGCATTGTGTGGCATCACCTTTAGTTTAGTAATGTTGCAAGTGTTACATATTCTCAGGTATATTTATGAGAAGTTATTTTAAGGATTTATTATGGCATTTTTTATGGGGCTAGGTCAGGTTATTAATTTCAGCTAAAGCTTGGTGAAGTTTCTTTGGATTCAGATACATCATGATTCTTTGTTACGCTTCCCATGCTACGTTTGTTAAATTGGCTCAGAATAGGTTAGGTCAGGTTAGGTCAAGTACTTAAGTTCATTGTTTTATTTTTGGCACTAGAAGTGATTGTTATTCTCTATAATTTCTGTTTCCAGCTGCCAAAGCTTTTCTGCGCTTGCCAATCTGGGATTTGTCCATATTCATTTGTGCTACTTACTCTCATTGGGACTTTTTTTTCAATGAGCATGGCATGAATACATGAATGTTGCATATACAGAAGCTTGATTAAAAAAACAAACTAGGAGCCTATTCAAAAGTTACTCCTTGTGGATTGTGACATGCTACATTTCTCTTGCATTCCATCAAACCTAAACTTTGAGACTATAAGTTATATTACCACCTTTCTGAAACAACAGTGAGTGGCCTTTATTGGTTCGAATTTTTCAACTGACCTCCTCATGGACGAGTGCCGAGTGTGAAGAGTTTGAATTTCTTTGTAGTGGGAAAGGACACATTCGCATTTGCAATTGAGTGAGCTTTTTTTTGTTCCTTGCAGAAAAAGGCCTCAGTTGTTCTTGACCCTTTTCGGTGCTTCTCACCACTCCAACTACCGCCATGTCTGACGAGGAGGAAGTTTACTCGTGAGTTGTTTCATTTTTTTCCCCCTTGATGAATTGATTTAAAAAATCAATGGAAACGTGCTTTTGTAATACGAGGTTATAAAATAAATTCAACAGTTGCTTTTCCAAAACTAAAAAAAAGAGTTGTCTTATTTCTTACACCTATCTCACGTACATTTCTTTATCTGATTTCGAAGCTAAACGTTAAATTCTTCCGTCAAAGAGGCTGACTTGAAGTCGAAGAAAATATGCAGGTGAACTCTACCTATAACGAAATTTGAAAGACCCGAAAAATTTGTCGTATGGAGAGAATGTTGTTCTATAGACAGTTGAGTTAAACGTATTGCTAATAGATAAATACGTACAGTGTTCAGGTTTCCGGACCATATTTCCAATATTTCCAGTTTTTCATTAGTTCCGTCATCTGTGCTTTTCATAACAAGTTATCCAGTATTATTTTTTATTAATGATGTAGACATCATGACTTTCTTTCAAAGACTTCATTCTGGAAGACTGCGGATAAATTGAACAGAATTCAAGTGGACGTAATCCATAGATTATTTCACCTATACAGTATAATATCACTAATCTTGAAATCAAGTTTCAATTTCAGAATCCTGCAGAGAATCGCACTTCTGCGTATTTGAACAAGTGCAATTTAAATACGCAGATCGTATCTGAGAATAGCATAAGAATGGAGAGAGAGAGCATTTGTTATTATGATTTCCATCCCAATTAACGAATGCCTATTTTGACATTATGTCCCTCGTGGACTGGGTAAACTTTTGGGGAAAAGAGGTACTTGTTTATGTAGAAAGGAAGAAAATAATTAATTTCTGAAATCTAGCTCAATA